CGCCGAGCTTCCCAAAAAGCAGACGTGCTGCATTGCAGCCAGGAACAAGGGGCGGCAGTAGCTGGGCAGCATTCCCCAGGCTGCGCGGTGCCGGCCAGACTCGCGCAGTATTTTCTGGGTTTAAAATCCAGGCAACGCACGCCGGGAGAGCTAGACGGTTGGGATGAGGCCCAGACTAGAGCCAGGCAAAGCAAAGGACAGAAGGCAGGGAGAATCGCCAACCTGGATGCCTGGGGACTTGCCTGGTACCACGGTCAGGCCCAGACCTGCAAGTAGCCAATATTGTACAGAGGCGAGTCCGAATAGTCCTCGGGGAGGCAGAAATGCTCCCTGGGCTTGCAAGATGCTGACAAGGAGGAGCCCCAGGGCACTGCAGAGGGGGGGACAAGACCCCCTTCTGCTCCTCGGTGGGGCACGCCCGCCGTTTCGATGCACCCTGCAATGCCGTGGTGCAGACCGCAGCCCCTCCCGGGCGGGGGCTGTGCTAGAGAAAGACAGCGTGGGCAAGGCAGGTAAGCAGCAACAGGGCACCCAGCTCACTTCCCAGAGCAGAGCAGGGTTGTGGAGGGAGCCCCTTGATTGCTGCCTGCCCCGGGTGGGTGGCAGAAAGGCACGAGCTGGCGCGCATGGGAGGCCTCCCTTTGAAGCGCAGGCACGGCGGCAGGTGTTTTGAATGGGGAGCTACGAAGAAACAGGTGCACTGGCCTCCTGCAGAGCTCAGCAAAGGGTGCCTCTCCCCCTTCATTGCCCTGCCCGGCAGCACAGCCCCCTCCAGGGCAGGGAGGATGCTCGTGGGCTGGGGAAGGGTGCACGGCAGCGGTGCGGGAGCTAGGGCAGGCGAACAGGGAGAGAGGAAAAGCAGCGGTAGGATGGGCAGGGAGACCGCAGGGGCCCAGTTCCCCTGGGAAACCCTCAACGGGCTCCACCCCGCCGCCCGCGCTGTGTTGGCAGGGTTTCCATACCAACCCGGAGCGTCAGCCAAGGGAGCAGCTGTGCCTGCCTGCCCAGCTCCGCAGCCATGAACGTCGTCCTCTCCAGGTAAGGCGCGAGCCGTTGGCAGGCATGTTTGCCTTGCCCCCCTCATCTCACCCGCCCGTCGTGGGCGAAGCGAGGGGGCAGCCGGGCTCAGGCCCCAGGGGCGAGACCCCCCCCGCCGCAAGTCACGTCAAACCTTCCCTTCTGCAGCGTGGGTACAAGCACGGCCGCTTTGCACGCTGCAAGGACCCACCTGGAAAGCCAACGCCAGAAAGGGCTCCTTAACACCAACAACAGTGCTCTAGAGGTGCCCTAAGTGCCAAGAAAGTGTCCCTGGAGGCCAAGAAGGGATATCGTGGGTGTAGGTGATGGTGATGGCAAGTTTGCATGAACAAGACAAGGGGGCAGGGGTGTTTAATCCCAGCTGCTCCTCTACCCAGAAAGCTCCAAGGGATTATTATGAGTGTCAGAGTCAGGAGCTGCCTGTAGCCGTCAGCTCCTCGAGAGACCCCAGCTGGAAAGGAGCGACCGTTTCACTCAAGGTTTTGTGCATCCCCGCCAGGCTGCCGCCCAAAGGGCGCAGCGGTGGCTTGGCACAGCTCAGCGTGCTCTTCCCTGCACCGCAGCTGCTTGCACCGCTGGTCCCTGCTACGCACCCACGCTGCGGCAGTCGTGCTGGCTCAGCTGGCAGTGCCTGCAGATGCACACACCAGCGACTGCACCAGGGAGGCCAGGTCCTGCATCCGAGGGAACAAAGCAGCCTCACGCTTCGGGCTGCAAAAGCAGCCCTTTGCATTGTCCTCTCGGCTTTGAGGGCATGAGGTGGAGGTGATGTCTCCCATCTACATCCCCCGGCTGAGAAACATGTGTAAAGCAGCAGCACTAGAAGCGCTGCATCTGCTGGAGCTGTGAGCCTGTCAAATGTAATGTGGCCTGTGCTGGATCCATGCGTTTTGCAGCAAGACTAGCGCCAAGATCCTGCCGTAGGCTCTGCAGGGCCTCAAGGAAGAGAAAACACTCGGTCCCCAGAGATCCCCAGGCAGGAGGAGTTTGGCTGCAACTTCCTTCCTCCCCCAGCTCCGCTGCCAAAGGGGGAGGACCGAGAAAAGATGCCTCTTTCTCCCTCCCCAGAAGGCAGATTTTTTTTTTTTTTAATGAATATATTTTGCGTTCCAGGTCAAATCAGCTAAATCGGGTCCAATTCATATCGATTGAGCAGAACGCAATCGTTCCAAAAACCGTATCGATTGAGCAGGCAGAACTCAAATGCTCTAAACACCGTGTACGCCACTACGACCGGCGAGCATCCTCCATCCCAGGCTCTCACTCTGGGACTTCAGATGCTCCTAAACTCACTAGCAGGCATCCTACATGCAGGTCCAAGCCAGCAAGGTCTTGGGATCTGGATGTCCCCACCGAGACACTTGATGCAAGCCAAAAGGTTAGCGAAACCCATCCCCGGAAGGCAGATGAGGCCCAAGGCAGGGTCGCGTCCCTCCTGCTGGCCAGAGACAGTTCAGACTAGGCTGCACGGTGCCTACTGCTGCATCTCGTTGCCTCCTCCCTCGTTAGGCTAATTCACAATTTACAGCTAGCCAGAGCATCGTGGCCAGGGACTGGCTCCTCTTTCTCAGCGCTCACAAGGGGAGGGCTCTCAGGCACCTTGCACCTGTGACCCAGAAACCTTATCCAGACCCCTAATGGGGGTGGGAAAGATGGGTATTTTAACCCAAAGGAAAATGTCCCTCCAGGGAGTTTCATGTGGCCCAGAACGGTCTGGTTTGGCTAAATCTGCAAACCAAAGAGGGCTCAGGGAGCAGTCGCTGGTTCCTGCAACATTATTGATTCTTTTCTAAACACCAGATAAGGCCCTCAAGTATTTCCTATTCTTCTGCTGGCTTTATTTTCCAAATCTGACGCTGTCCCGGGAGCGTGCGGGAAACAGGGGAACATTATAAAAAAAAATCTAACTGGCATTTTATTCCTTGACCTGCGATGTGGGATGGGGACAAGAAACCCCACTTGAGACACCTTCCTCTCCCACTGTGGCTTGTAGGAGACCCCTGAGACAGGCCCTATGAGACAGCCTCACTTTAAAGCACAAATAGAGCAGTGTTTTCAGGCAAGCAGAGCCAGGCAGAGGTTGGGGACAGAAGACTTGTCCTCTACCATCCCACCAGTGCTCCCCTAGCCTGGCTAGCGCTCTGTCCAGGCTCACCAGGGCTTTCCACTAGCTGCTTCAGGAAAACACTTCACCTCCAGCCTGGCAGCACACACGTCTCTAACTCAGTGGTCTTCAACCCTTTTAGGCTCAAGGCACCCCTTGATCCTTCGGAAAATGCCATCTCCTTGTTTTCATTTGTTTTTTGACCCGACAAAAACAACAGAATAGTTCTTCTGCTGCAAAAAAACAGGTCAGCCTGGTCTTGAACAGCAGGGATTCCTGTTTGAAAGTCTCGTAAGTCTTGGCTGCGCACCTAACAGTGATTGAAAGGATCTTGTGGCCCCCCTGGTTGAGGATCACTGCTCTGACTTTCCATTCCCACTAGGTTTTCACCTGAGATTGTCAGCAAATTGTTCCTGAATTGTTCCATCCTATATACTTCAGCTCCATCAACACGTATCGGTAGGCAGGTTACATCGCTCCCCACCTCTCCTCCTTAGCCAAGCTGCATTCATTTAAGCTCCCTGCACCTTTTCCCGGGTGTCAAGCCCTCCACCCACCCCTTGCTTGCAGGTCCCTGAACTCCCTCCTGGTAACAAGCTCCCAGAATTGAATGCAATCAAGTCACACTGCAAACATGACTAGCTCTACCAAGTAGGGGAGATGGGGAAGACTCGGGCAGCAAAGTCTTCGCTGTAGTGAGACCACAAGGTCCAGGCACAGCCCTGAGCTGCCAAAGGCAGAGAGCACGCAAGAAAGCCCTCTCTGCACGAACATGATTTATTCTCAGCACAGCACCGGGTCGCAGGGGAGGGGGAGCAGCTAACTGCAGCGCCAAGACCAGAGAAATTTAAGGCCCTGCTGGTCTTTTGTGTCAAGCTCACATGATGGAGGTGGAGAGGGAGGGAGATCAGCAGGTTTTATTAGGTGATGCACAGCTGCAGAACTCAGAGCAGAGTCGCTGGGGGAAATAGGCATGGAGTCTGCTGGCAGCAGGATCTTTCCCGTCCTTCAAAGACTGGAGGAGGGTCTGACACCGATAGCTTGTGGATCGGGGTTTCTAGTTGGGGAGGGGGGCCTGACTCCAGCTGTTGGCTTCTAAAAAAAAAAAAAAAACCAATAAAAAAAACACAGTCCCTAATCGCCGCACGAGCTCACTGTTGCCACGCAGGACCATGCCTGTGAGCAAAGAGGAGCTTAACACAGTTCCTAATGGCTTGCCTAGAAGGAGGTTCCTTTGGGGATCTTCTTAGGTAGAAAAGATGCCGTCTAAGAACTGATGCCCCTCTCCTCCAAGAACGTGTCCAGTCCCTTTTTGAGTCAGCTTCCACCTCATCTGGTGGCAGCGACTCCTACACTTTAATTGCACATTTTGTGAAAAAGAACTCCCTTTTGTTTGTTTTCAACTTACCGCCTACTACTTACATGCTGCGACCCCTAGTTCTTGTGTAGTGAGAGAGACCATTACCTCGAGACCATCAGGATTCAGGTTCAGGTCTCAGCCGCGGTACCGTATAGGTCAGTGAGTCTCGACTTTTTTGGACTCGGGGAACCCCTCGTTTGACTTAAGCCACCCCTCCTGGACTCGAGGCCCCCACTATAACTTGTAAATTGAGTGGCACTCCATTTCACCAACTGATTCATTTATTGCAATGCTTACCTCCTTGCAGAGAGGCTGGGCAGTGGGGTGGGGGGTTGCTCTGGCAGGAACAAGCTTGAGTTTATCTACTCAGTTGATATCTAAGTATCCAAGGGATCACTATCAAAGGCACCACAGGGTAGATTTAAAGAGATGGGGACCTGGACATCGGTATCTTCCCATCCATACTGCATAGGCCTAGACAGTGCACCAAACAGTTCAACTCCATGCTAATGAGAACCTTGCTCCCCCACGTTACAGCTAAGTCTGGCAACCAAACGCTTTTAACACGCACAGAATAATGGTCACGTGCTGTTGCCAAAAGTTGGAAGTTCAAGACAACGACACGGCTGCTTACAGGGCCTTATCACTCAGTGCACGCAGAGGGACCGCGTGCAAATTCCTTCCAGAAAACTGGCCCAACTATGGGGAAGGCAGTCTGGACCAGCTGCCTGACACTGAACGTTTCCAGCTACCAGAGCAGGCCCTTAAATAAGTAACTTTTCTCCAGAGGCAGAGATCCACTGGGTTCTTGCATTTCCAACTTTGCTGATTCGGTGGTCAACTGACAACAGGGATCTAAATTTATGTGTGTGCAATGACCAGTTGGGTGAACAGTTCTCCAATCTGCACGTGCAAGAGCCCCGTGCCTGACACACAAAGCCGTGTCATCCAGCTCCAGTTTCTGATGCTAAGGCCATTGCAATGCTAATAGCCAACTAAGCCAATATGCTTCCCTCCCCAGAGATAACCAAGTGAGGATCATGGAGAACACAGTAGCCAATGCAGAAAAATACTTTGGCCAGTTCTGCACGCTGATGGCCTCCTATGTCCGGAAGACTGCTAAGCTCCGGGACAAGTCAGACCTCCTGGTCAAACAGCTCCTCGACTATGCCAACACAGAAAACCCAGAGCTGAGAAGCACCATGAAAAGCTTTGCGGAGGAATTAGCCAAAGTGCAGGATTACCGGCAGGCTGAGGTAAGAACCGTCCAAAACACGCAACCCTGACATGAAGCCCAGTAGCAGGGCAGAAAGCAGTAGTGCTCACACATCTGCTTCTGTCCTAGGCCACCTGTTGATGTCCTATCCTAAGAGGGATGAAACCACGACTGCTCTCCCTGTTTGCAGGCTGAGGGTGGAGATCTGGGCAGCACTTATGAACCAAGCTCAGCAGGGAGAGCTTTAGGGTTGAACATGTCTCAGCAAACAAGGAACCCCCAGTCTCCCCCTCTCCAGGGATTGTGGGACCTTTCCTTGGATTCACCTGGGGAGGAATTTGCAACCCTTTCCCATGCTCCGAATCTTGCTGGGCTTTATGGGCTCCAGGACTAGTCGTGCTTAACAGTGCTTTCCATGCCTACAAGAGCTGGGTTCAAATCCAGCTCAGCCCAGGAGTGAATATGCTGCCATTGTAGCTTAATGGCCTAGAGTAAATGACTCCACTCTGGTCCTACTGAGAGGTCGCCGCTATAAATGTTATCAGTGCCTAACAATCCCTCAAGATGGGTTCCCTGCATCAGGGCTGATCACAGCAGCAGTACCACAGCCAGACCGCAAGACTCCCACCCGCGTTCGGATGGAGTTTGTCACATTCTCCCTACACCCCCATGTGTGAATTTCCTCTCCCTGCTTAGGTAGAGAGGCTGGAAATGAAGGTCATCGAGCCACTAAAGCTGTACGGAGTCCGTCTCAAGCAGACAAGGGTGAGTACCACGTCACTGGACCGCCGTGGTATCCCAGAGCCAGCCAGCCCAGTAAGACTACGTTTGTTCTATTCCAGGCAGAAATCAAGAAGTTCAACAGCGTCCGTAACAACGAGATAAAGCAGCTGGAGAAGCTGGAGAGGCTGCGGCAGAAGTCGCCGTCAGACCGGCACACCATTGTATCCTTCCCGATACCAGCGCAGGGCCTGGGGCACGGCCTCCTGCTTGCTCACACAGCCAAAAAGTAGTGGGCGAGGCAGCGAGGCAGGGGCAGAGGGAGGAAGCCGAGGCTCAGAGGCTTGTGTTTCACTTCGGCTTCCTTCAAATGTTTGCACGGAGCGGTAGGGTCCCACCAAACTGATTGGAAACATCCCCTTGTCGGGAAACTGCCAACCCCAGCCAGGGAAAGCCAAAGCAGATGACAGCCTGCTGACGGCTGGGGAAAGAGCTGAGCTCAGATATCAGAGCACGATACAATGAGATTTATGGCTGGGAATCACCGACTTTCGCCACACATGTCCCATGTGAAAGGGGAGATTTCACACCTGCCACATCCAGACGTGCATCTGGCCATAAGTGCTCTGGGTCTCTTCCTCCCCAGAGCCCTGCTCTACAAGCCTGTCTCTGCAGGGGTTCAGCAGTATTCTCAGTATCAGCACTCACTGAATTAGGTGCGAGAGAGGAAGGGGGTGAATTTCCCTCCCACCTACCACTCTCCAAGGGAAACTTGCCTTGTTACAGCCTCTTAGCAAGACAGAAGATTTCCTAAGGGATCATCTAGACAGCTCAAGAGATTTCCTTCTGCTTGGTAAAAAATATTTTAATGAGCAGCTCTTTCCAAAACCTCTGGGTTTTTTCAAAGGAAGCAAGACTCTGCTGAAAATCCCAGAAAATACTCAGGGGGGAAAGCAGTAGTTTGACACCCATGGGCGCTTGTACATGGCACGATTGTGCTCAGGTTCAGTGGCCAAACAAGGTCACTCAGCTGCTTCTGGAAGCAAAATAAAGGATTTTCACAGGGGAAGCTGGAGTCTCCCTCATAGTCACAGCAGCAAAGTCACGGGTCACCCCACAAGCTGCCACCCATCAGCTCTGTTTCTAACAGGCCAGGAGCCAGTGGCACACGGGTCTGTGCTCCTGATTTGCACACATGTGCAGCTTGTTGTCATTTTCAACACGGGAATGAAAACATAGCAAGAAAAACCGACAGGATGGAAATCCTGTGGTGTCCCATGGACACGCTCTGTCTTCCCCACACTCAGTAGAGCTGGGTGGAAGTTTGGGATTTTCAAAAGCATTTTGGTGAAATTTTCAGAAGTAAAAAAAAAAAAAAAAATCTAAGGGTTATGAATTTCTGGGAGGGGGGTCTTGGAAAGCTGTACTCAAACAGCGACAGACTGGCGGCTTGTACAGATGGATGCCCAAGTAACTAAGGAAATATCTTGCTTCCAAGAACTTCCTCATTGGATATAAAAATTGCCATTTACTGGAGACTGAAAGAGACAGTGAGCTGGATTTTTCCCCCCGTTCCTCTCCCACTTCCAGCATTTAAGGTCTAGGAAGTTCAGAGGCTGTGCCCCTAACGCCTGTGCTCAATAGCTACTGATGCACCCTTCCTCCAAGAACATGTCCAGTCTCCTTTTGAATCTAATTAAACCATCAGTTTCCCCAACATCTTGTGGCAATGAGTTCCCAATGTTAACAACAGGCCATGTGAAAAAGAGCTTGCTTTTGTTACTTTTTTGGCATTGTGCTGTTGACAGCCTTCAAGAGGCACTCCAATAAGTCACAGGCAAGGGTCAGCCTATCAAGAAACAAAATTGCTTGCACGGTTGCCCCAGGATGGAAGCAGCTTAGAAAAGCGAGTCAAAATGGGCAGGTTGAGGAGGAGGAATTGTGCCATTTCTGGGCCCAGCTGCTTACACAGATGCCTAACCCAAAGCAAAGGAGGTCTGTAACCCACGGTTGTCAGCCTGTTCCTTGACTGTTGCTTCAGTCCCAGGTAAGCACACGCTCCTCTGCATAAAATGTTAACCGGGCGCCTGAGGTACGGTTTCAACTGGCAGATGGCAAAAGATTATCAGGAGAAAGCACAGGTGAGTGCCAGAGACACGCTAGACTCGGGGCAGGGCTGAGGGGAGCCGTGCAAAAGCCGTCGCTGCAGTATTTATAATTCAGCGTCATCTTCGTGAATCCGCTAACATCAGGCGTTGCAACCAGGCCACGGCTCCCATCCTCCGCTTTATTTTGGCTGTAACCTAGTTGTGGCAGAGACTGCATCTCACTGGCTGAAAATGCTCCATCCATCTGAAGGCAGGGGAGAGGGGTTGACAGAAAATGCGGTTTGGGGCTGAGCATTTTCTTTGGGGAAAAGACCTGCTTGGCAGGGGGGAGGAAGGGGAACTGCTACTTTTTGCCCCCTGCCCAAAAAAGGGAGAAATCTTCAGGTTGTTTTTTTTGTTTGTTTTGTTTTGTTTTGGTTTTTTTTAAAGAAGTGTCAAAATCCCCAACAGAAAACACACATTTTCCAGCCGCCTCTCCCCTCCTCGTATGTCCTGGAGGTGTCGGGTACACCATGCCACCGACTGCATCTGGAGGGGCTCCAACGGAGCATCCTGGCACATCACCCGATGGCATGGGCCTCCACGCAGCCGCTCCTACTCGCACAGGCAGCTCAGGGTCAGGCCTCAGGGCTCTGGGGTGGAGGCCTGGTGAACACCGAATGCCTGCACGGCTGGACGGGTCACCCCTGGGGACAGGCGGATGCATCCCCCGCTGCATTGTATTCAAGGGAGGAAGCCAGAGTGACTAAGCACCCACTTATCTCAGGAGAAATCATCTCGCCAATTAGCAAATCTGTGTACCCTCCAGAGGCGAGCCAGGGCCACGCGAATGCCCCTCTTGCTCGCCCCGTACCTGATCCCCGGCGCCGAGTCAGGCTCCATGTAGCATCTCCGCCGCGGTGCTCATGAACGCACTCATGCTCCAGCGGTCCAGAACCGACGCCGCCTGCCTGGTACCTGTGACAGCCCTGGCCAGAGCTGCATACATCTCCCTGCAACAATATTTAGCCCTGATGAATTCACTCCTTTTCTCCACTCTTTTTCTGGCAAAAAAATCACCCCCTTTGTACAGGAAAGAATAATAGCAGAGCTCCCTGGAAGTGCCTCCGGCCGTGGGTGATGCATTTCACCTGCAGCCACAATGAAACAGCTGCGTGCACACACGGCCTGCCCTCGCCCGCTGCATCCATCTGCATCTGAACGCGGAGCTCTTCTACAGAGCTTCACCTCAAAGTGCTTTGCAAGGGAAAGACGATATTGCCAGCCCCTGTGTACAGCTGGGGAAACTGAGGCACAGAACAGCATCATGCAGGCCCCTCTCAGAAATAGGAGGGCTGCTTCTGGCTGCTAGGTCTATAGCAAACCCCCTCTGCTTTGCTGCCCTGTTGCTTTAATTTCATTAAGGGGACATGACATCATGTCTCCGGCCAGATTGTCAGGCTGGAATTCAGCACCTTTGCCACACGCAGCTTAGAAACGTGCCCATGCCCGACCCTGGCACCTATTTGCATGCGCAAACACTTGTTTGCATGTCTGCTGTACATGCCCTTGCAAAACCGGCGGCTGCTTTTTAAAATTCAGGCTCAGCATCTCGCATTTGTCCTCCACCTGAGGATGGAAATGATTGCAAAGTCACATCCAGAGCATTATGGGGGCTTTCAAGAGAGCGGGAATAAGAAAGAGGAGCAGATGAGCTCTTAGGAAACTAAGATCTTATTGGCACACAAAATCCCAGACTAATCAAAAGTACCAGGAAAGGGGAGGAGGGGTACAGAGCGCGCAGCGCCAGGCAGGCAGAACTGTTTCTTAAGGAAAAGTGTTCGGTGCCTCCCTGCTGTCACTCCTCCAGCTTCGACGGAGATCCCTCGAGATGAATCTGGCCTAAATCTCCGTGAGCGGTTGTCTCCGAGCATCAGCAGGGCAGGGCACTTATGAAACCACAGCCCTAACGAGGCACACCGGTCCTTTGCTCTGCCCCCCACGAAGTCCCCGAGTGCAGCCAGGCCACACGCGTGTCGGCAGCTAGTGGCAAACCAATACACGGACCCAGGCATTACTGTGAAAAGACCCATGTGTGGACTTGCACGCATGGTGCTCAGACCACATAGAGACAGATCATGCTCAAACCCATCGGGGTGGGTTTCCAAAACCACTGCTCATTTACTTCATCAGTGCCTTGGCTTTGCCATGGTAACCTCAAGGGGTTTCCTAACCTCAGAGCCAGGCCTGCACCCAGGCAGATCCCAGTCTCTGACCAGAGGATGCAGGATGGGTCCCTACAATGCATTATCGGACTAAAACATTTACCGCTGCAACGAGGCGGAAGAAGGAAGCTGGTTGCAGCTTTCAGACCAGCTCTGTTTTATAACGAGGATCTCCCCAGGCCTGGGAATCCCTCTGTCACTGCTTGTGCTCTTCAGTCTTCCCTGCCCTGGGCCAGGGAGGCATATGGCTGGGACTCTCTTCCTTTCGTATGGCGTCAGAGATCAAATCTATGAGCCACTGTCTGGTATTAATCTCTCCATGTGCCGATTCCAGCTACAAATCCCAGCCTGGGGATTTGTAAAGATTGCTGCTTTCGATTAGGTGCTCTGCTGTTCGTCGGGCATCGCGCTCGCACAAGGGGCTGCCCAAGATGTTCATCTGGTAAAATGCTGTTTTGAAGCAGATCTCAGTCTGCTCGGCTTGGCCCACACTTCTCTGTCAAGGTCACTCGTTTGGTGTTGGTATAAAACGCTGGAGAAATAGGTCTGACCTTTCCACGCGGTCGGCACACTCCACTGCTGCCCATCCGTTTGGTTCAGCATCCCCAGTCTCTCCCAGGCGCTTGTGGGATCCACGTACAAATGGTTTACGACATTTGAGCCTCTTAAGCCTCCATCTGTTCAGGTCTTCAGTTAACACTTGGTAGAGCAGGTGATTTTCATCATCTCCTGCCTCTATTGCCAGTGATGATGTTAGGGTCTGTCTTCTTATATCACTTGGTTCAATGCCTGAGAGTACAGGAAATACATCTGTGTGCGTGTAGGTTGTGTAGCCTGTTATGAGTCTCAGCACACCATTAAGTACAGTGTCGGGCTTTTTAGCGTGACAACTTCTAGATCATACAGGAGCACTGTATTCTGCTGGCGTATACACCATTGCAAGTGCAGCGGTTCGGATAGCTTTTGACTGATGAGAGCTGGCACAATAACCATGCCTGAATCTCCTTGCTGGGCGCCGAGCGCAACACGTGTATCCCAGGTTTGCAATTTGATAAGCCCCGAGCCGCTCTCACCCTCCAAGGTGCATGCAGCTAGCCCATAAGACCTGCCATCCTGGGTCGGACCACCGGTCTACCCCCCACCTGTGACAGCACCAAGTAGCAGGGACAAGCATCAGAAACCTTTCCCACTCAGTGATGCTGCATTTCCTTCTATTTTAGGCCGAGTCCAGCGTGCACAAAGCCTCGGTCGATGCCAGCCGCACCACCCAGCAGCTGGAGGAAACCATCGACGACTTCCAGAAGCAGAAGCTGAGAGACATCCAGGTAAAAGGCACCACGCACAGCTCCAGAGAGAGCTACAGGAAGGAGCGGAGGTGGGGAAACCCTGCCTGGCAGCCAGATGGTAAGGCAGCCCGACACATTTAACTTAGCAAAGAGAAGGTGAAGAGGTGACCTGGTCGCAGCAGGTAAGCAAATTTCTAATAGGGTAAGGACTCGCTTCCAGCCAACGAAGGCGTACAAAGTTTAGACAAAATCCAGCTAGAAACAGCGCCCTTTTTTGTTCAGCGAGGATCATTTCAGCCATGGGGATGGCTTACATAGGGCTCAGACACGGGACCCAATTAATGCAGAGTGCTTTACCCCACAGTTAAGTTACTCTGAAATAAGGAGAAGACACATGACAGGCTCTCCTAAACTGGTTACTGTCAGCTCACGAAAGCTCGTGCTCTTTATCCACTCTGGGTAGTCTGTCGGGTGCAAACCTCCCCTGCCTTCTGCCTGCAGTAGATGCCATTATAGAGCCAGGCCACCGGACGGCAGGGAGCAAAGGGCTGCCCCAGAGTGGGTTTGGCAAGCGTCCTAGGCAGTATAGCTACTACCCGTTTCCAAGAGGCCACTTTCCCCTGGATGCGAGTGATTTACTGCATAATAGGCCTGCGCACTGTGCATCTGCCCTGCTTTTATTGCGCAGTAAAGGCGATTTACTACGTCATAAATGTGTCTCATGCCTGTGCCTTCAGGAACGCTATGCCTTCCTCCTTACTTCAAGTGTTTATATCAAAACGGGACGTTTCTTTCCAGCTCAGACAGAAACAGATTTCCTGCAGAAACCCCTGGGAGAGAGCCTCCAGGATTACAGCACCCCTTTTGGCATTAAGAGTCTAAAAATCCTCCCATCTCATCCCTATACAGTTGGTCTGGGGAATAGGGTCTGGGGCACAGCTTTGACTTCATAGGGAGGCCTCAGAGGACAAGAACCTGTTCCCTTCCCACCCTCTGGATGGCAGTTCCTTATAGCCAGCATTAATAAGGATGAAATGTCGTGGCGTGTACAAGCACCCTGTAGAGTCAAAGGAGGCCCCTTCAGACCCCATCAGTGCCATTCCCTCCCTGGCCAGGAGGCAGCATCATTAAGTTAGAAGTATTTGTTTCCCTTGTCCCTCCCTGCTTTGGTACTTGTGCTCTCAGTTCAAGTCTCTCCCCCCAACCCAGGCCTTCCCAGAAGTTAGGCCACTTAGGAGCAGGAACGTGCTCATTCATGCTTCCCTTTCTTGCAGAAGATTTTCTTGGACTTTGTTACCATTGAGATGGTTTTCCACGCCAAGGCTCTTGAGGTCTTTTCCAGTGCCTTCCAGGCCCTGGAGGACTATGACTTGGAGAAAGACCTGGAGGTACTTGGAACAAAAACATAGCTTTTGTACAGACACCCAGCATTTGCATGGCAACGTCCATCCACAGGCCTCAAAACAGTTTACAAGCAGTAACTCAACCATTAAACGCCCCTAGAAGCAGGTATTTTCACTCAGTGTTTTACACACAGGGAAACTGAGGCACCGAGTGGAGGTATAGCATGCATAAGGTCACCGCAAGTCTTGGGAAGTGAAACCAAGTGTCCCAACTCCCAGGTGCTGGATTCAGCTATTAGATCAAGGCTCATGGGGAGATGGGAAACATATCCCCAAAGTGTGACAGCGGCATTCATGTCAGCTACATGCTGTAACATTAACATCTGAAGTCCTGCCTGGGCTGTAGTTGCCCATGACACCAGATTCGATCAGTTAGATGAGAAAGTCCATCAAATCCATCGCCATACAAAGCTGCCAGCTCTATCTCCCGTCCCAGCCAAAATTTATACCCAGTATTAAATCCCTGTGTGTACAGCGATATCAGTGCCCCTGTCCCCAGCTCCAGCGACGGCTTCCCCCTCTGGCAGGCGCTCTCTCCTGCCCATCAGGATTGCTTGCTGCTAGCAAACCTCAAGGCACAAGCTGTTGCGAAGGACACAGGGCTCTGATCTGTCTTGATCTCCGCCCAGCTAGGAACAGAGGCAAGCGCATTGCGCCTTGTTGAGAATAAGCCCACTCCCCCTCTCCAAATGATTTGTACAGCAGCCGACTGAATTCCCCAGCCCAAATCCTCTCCCAGCAATTTTGCTACTGCCTTGAGCTTAAACCTTGTGTGCTCTTTTGTGCCGACAGCAGCTTGGGCAGCCACAGGAACTATTCTTCTATAATTCTCTTGTCTCGTTACATTCAGTGCCTTGCGCGTCCCGTGATTGCTCTTATTAATTGTTCTGCACCAGCCAGCGTGCAACGCAGAGCTCTCTCCTCACGGGTCGCTGCTGGCATTGATCTTTCTTTTCCTTTTTCACCTCGCTAGGATTTTAGAGCTAAGATCCACATCGCTTCTGGCAATTACAACGCGAGGCCAGGCAGTGCTCTGAATCCCTCCCCCACCCTGCCGTGGTCCACAGGCAGTCAGGTGAGAGACACAATTAGAAACGATTGCCGTCATAATATTTTGCCTTCAAATTAAAGCCCGGCTCCCACCTTCCGCGCAGAGCCTGAGAAAGCAAATTAAAACCACTCGAGAAAGAAACAGTTCCCAGGAAGCGATGGTCCCGACTCCAGCAGCTAATTGGAGGTGGGAGGGCAGGCCAAATGCAGCTGGAGCCACCCTACTTCATGACACGGATTCCCCCAAATCATGCCTGAACCTCAAGTTCGCGCCGACCTATTTGATACGGGGCCCGATGATAAGCAGAGCTGTCACAACAGATAGAATAACATTGGCTAAGTACCAGCGACACTACTGCAGATGCATGGTTTGCTTTTGGGACCACGTGCTTTATCTAGAAGTCTGTGCAGGAAACAGGCACAGCTAATTTCAGAGGCGTAGACCTGCAAGCAAATGCAACGTCAAGGCTCCAGCAACAAAATTCAGCTGCAAAGGGAAGTTCACTCTAAGCCAGAGGTGTTGATTAAAGTTCAGGATTCAGCCACGTACCAGTGGTCCTCATACTAAAGGCCAGAGTCCGGCCTTGCTCTGGTGAGAATCAGGAGTAACCTCCATGAAATGAGAAGTTACTTCTGATTTAGGGCAACACAGACAAGGGTGCCATCTGAAAGGGGGCCCAGAAGCAGCAACCCATGCACTGCACTGAAGCATAACAGATTTCCTTCTCTTCATTTCTAGACCGTTCAGAGCGTCTTAGGGAAGATGGTTTTGAGCGAAGAAGACACGCTGCAGGATCTCAGCGATACAGAATATGCACCGATTAGACGGTAACATGAGCGGTGCAATTAGCTGGCCATGATCACGACAACCGGACATGTTTATTCTTCATTTCTTTACTGAACCTTCAATTTTCCATGAAGACAAGGAGCTCTCAGACAGGTCCTGAAGAAGTTTGGAAACCATGCAAACATACCGAGATGACTCCAAGTAGCTCAGTCAGTCTCCGAATTAGAAGGAAACCAGATGTTTTGTTGGCTGGTTGAACATCCTCTGCTGCAGCCTGTGGCATTGCCTTGCCTGATTACAAACGAGCAACAGGCCCCAAAGCCACACATTGCAAGCGTGCCCCATGCAAGGAAGGCAGAGAGCACTTTGTAGGATCACACAGCCCCTGAGGGCTGAAATTTAGGAAGGTGAATTTGTGCCCATCCTCCTGGAGCCCAACAACATCTGTCCATCTGCGAGGCATGGCCCGTACAACTGGGTGCAACCTCTGAAGAGGCACCAAAACCCTCAGTTAGCCAAGACATTTATACAGACACCGCAGACGGACTCAAACTAGGGATGCCAAAGGCAGGTCTGACCCTCTTACCAATGAGATATAGATGACCTACTCCCACTTCCAGCTGCTGTCAGGCAGTCCCCGGGTTTCCATCAGTAAGTCTTCCCAACGGGTCTACTCCCGCAGCTTGCTGAATGCCAATAGGTATACACCAAATAGGTCCAAGGCATCAAAATATATCTCCCACGTTTCACTTCCCCTACTGTTTTGCAGCACTTCGTTCCCAGTCATTCCCACAAGCTGTTCCCATGCAGCATAATAAAACAGCAGCATTTTTCATGCCTTCCTTTATTTTAAGGTTAACTTTGGCACCGGGGGAAAAGCACGGAGAGCTGGAGTGGAGCAGGAGCAGCCTTAATACAGGTTTGCTTTCAGTGCCCGCCTGCCCTCCCATCCCTCTCTGGTCCCTTCTCAAGGGCTATTAGGATTGCCTGCTGTGGGGCCAGTGCTTTGCTAGGCAGCACCCTGGCATCTCTCTTCTTCTGCTGGCTGGGCCGCCTGCCTCTCCAAACTCCAAGCTTGGAGAGCCTGGGGGCGACTTTCTTTGGGCTGCCCACTGCTTCCCACATGTGCCTTCGTGATGGCATTTTCCCTAATTCACCAGGAGTCCCCTGGAGCCCCCTGCCAGGGAAAACTCCTCAAATTAGCACTTGCCCCTTTTGGAGCCCACCTTCGCCGCCGAGAAGTCCTACCAGCTTGCTCCCCTGCTGCGGGGCTTTCCTCCAGGTGGAAGAGGCATTGCTAATTCGCAGGGCTTCTGGCTGCTGTAATTAGGAAGCCTTCCCATCCCACAGGGCTTTGCTGTTTGCACCCTTTTCATCTCACCTTCCAGCACCCAAAGCCCAGTTTGCACTTCAAAGCGACTTGGAGAAGGGGCCCAGTATCACGGTGACCTGCAGGTCTGCAGGGATCGTTGCAAATATAGCTGTCCCCACCGCTGCCCCTGCCACCATCATGTGAGCCCTGGCTCCGGGGGGGCTAACCACTCATTACCGCAGGCAGGGATGGTACCAGCACCCCTAGGCTCAGCTCCACACTGCAGGCCAGGATAGCTTGGCCTCAGGTGCACAAATTAAGCAGCTCCCAAAGCTCAGGGTGCACCTCCGAGGAGCGATGAGAAGACCCTGCTTGTGCTGCACCACCCTTGGCCCACACTACCCATCATCCTCACAGCATCCCGGGAGGCAGGAAAGAAAGGACTTGATCCCTGGCCTTTTAGGTCTTAAGCCGATGCCCTAACCACCGAGCCCTCCTTCCTCTGTCAGCAGCCCCTGCACTTATGGATGCTTCCACCCGCTCTGCGCCGTGCGCATAATCCTGTAGTCAATGAAAAGGCCTCCACTGAGCTCTGGACCAGACCTCAAACCACAGCTACGGCCGCCGCAGAGCCCTCAGCCCCATGCAACATGCTCACAGCACCACCAGCCGACGAGGAAAGAGCAGAGCAGCTGGTAGCTCTTGCCACCCCCGTCCTTCCCCCCTGCAACCTGATGAACACGCGGCATTTCGGCGGGGCCCAGCTGACTCAGAGAGCACCCCCCCTTGGCACACAGCCCCGTGCCGCGCACACCTGACCCGCCGTGATGTCACGCTGTCGAACGTCCCAGCACGACGCCCGGGCATCCAAGGAGAAATGGGTCCCATTGATTTTTCCCTTTCAAGGCACAGGCTATTTTTTTCCTTCCATCAAGCAGCAAATATGCTTTCAGTGCAATAAAGACTGCTGTTCAGTCTGCGGAACAAATGGTTAGCGCCAGCCATTGTACGCAGGGGTGGGAGGGGGGCCGACATGCCGACTTAATGATGGTGATTTAAGCCATTTGGAGCCATTTTCATGGTGCACGTACAGCGCGGGGAAGAATCGAGGGAAGGAGGGAGGGGACACACAACCGAGTGCTTAAAAGGGGAGAGAGAAGCAGCCAAGAGGCGGCAAGCTGTTCACCCCATGGCTTGGCCAGCCCAGCCCAACTCAGCCCCCCCTCCTGACCCCAAATCAGCAACCTGCCTTTGCCCTGCTAACAACAGCTGCTCGGAGCAAGGGCCAGCTGGCAGCAGTGGACAGGGGAGCTTTTACCCCTGCTCCCTCCCTGGCACAGCACAGAAAGCCGAGGATCGAGCTGGCATCCAGGATCTGGCGCTGGCCTTGCAACGGAGCCCATTTTGCAAGGCTAAAGCTGCAGCCGGGGATATGGGTAGACCGGCACCGCAAGGGCTGAAGCCCCCATGCTTCTGCTGCTGTGGAAATGGTCTGGGGCAGCAAGAGCTCTCCAAATGAGGCCTTTTCCCTCCGTGCCTGGCTCTGGCCCTGCACCATGCCAGCAAAGCGCCCGTGTGTGCAAGTGCACCGCTGGCACAGACCCCGACTTGACTGCACGCTTCGCCTGCGTGCCAAGTGCCCACCACTGTGCCCTTTCCTTCATGGCCGGTGCAGGGAAGCACTGGCAAGGGAAGAAGCCCCCCACTCTTTCCTCCTCTCGCAGCAGGGAGCACAGGGGTGGGGGCATCACAATTGGACTTCAACAGCTGGCTTTAATGGCCCAGCTTCCCCAGGCGATGCTGACTCTCCCGCATGCCCTGAATGCACCCCCCGGGAGAGTTATACAGGCTTGGAGACCGGCCGGCACAGACCAGAGATGCCCAGCAAGGGCCTGAGCAGGTTTCTGCTGCCATAAGGACAAGACGTCGGTTCCTTCCTGGGCTCTCTGAGCGGAGCGGAGAGAGTCTCTGAACGGCTGGTTCATACGCGGCTGTCTCTGCATTCAGAGCTGACCCCTATTAACTCCCTGGTACTTCATCTCAATAGTCCCTGACACTACATGCGACCGCATTTGCATTCAGCGCCTGGGGCTGAGCGCCCTGGAGCCCCGGCGTGGAGGGATCGATGGGATATTGACACACTTGTCACGCGGCATTTACCCACATCCGTGTGCACATGGCAGGCATATTTAACTCAGATTGGAAAAGAGAAAAGTTCAGGGCCCGGCCACGGTGCCGCCAACTCAGACTGGGACCGAAAAACAAGCTGGCGATGATGGAGAGGCGAAATCCCAGAGAACGGGCGAGGATGGCATCGCTTGAACTCCCGCAAGGGTGCAGGTACGGGGCCTGGGAGAGATTTGTCACTGTTCTCCCTGCAAAAGGGGCATGTCTGATGGGGATGGGGGTGTCACTAGGCATAAGTTTCTGCATGGCTCTGTCTTGCAGCGATGGCACCTCCTCAACCCCTGATGCTATCGTCCTTCCGTAGTCGCACCGAGCATTCACCGTGAGCACGGTGGACAGGACAGAGTTGCTCCTGCTACAGCAAACCCCGGCAGGAGCAAGGAGCGGGGCAGCAGAGGAGCAAAGAGAAGGGAGGAAAAGACAACTTGCAGCAAAACTTTGCTCCCTCTCGGGTCATCAGAGAGCGCATCGAGGGCTGCTTTCTATGATCCGCAACCCGGTACCCCACGAGCACGTAGAAGGGGGACCTGGCCCCCAAAAGCCGGAGAGCCACTGTGAAAGGCTGAATGAGGGCCACAAGCCTTACCCACCTCACCGCCCGATGTCCATAGCCCCCGCGGTCTCTGTGCTGGGCATCCTTCAAGCAACCCCGAGACTCAGCTCCTGCGGAGAGGAGGAGAAGGAAATGCAGCATGAAGTTCAAGGCTCGGCAGCTCCCCTCCTGCCAGCCCCGTGTCACCTGATCGCCCCCACGGCTCCTGCTCCTATCCGCACACCCGCGTTTCCTCAGCCCCCGCAAGCCACGAGCTGCCATTCACACCTTGCACCTCCGCGGAGAGCCAGCCGCTTTTGGACAGCACCTTGCAGCATCAGGGCCTTCAACCTGCTATACGGACAAGGCTGCAGGGGGAATGCCGCTACCTCGGGGGTCCCCCAGCACCCGCGGAGGCGACTCAGGACCAGACCCCGCAGAAACAAGGCGCTGGCAGAGCGCCGCTACCCGGGCCACGGTTCAGGCTTCTCCAAGCATGGAAACAAGGGCAAGGAAAACAGATGGGTACGTGCTTGGATGCCGTCCTGCCTCAGACCTCAAAATCGAGGTGCGCCGGCGACACCAGCATTGCCATCCAAGGGGGACGCCGAGCTACTCGGCTCTTCCAAAAGTGCCAGATAGGCTGTATCTAATTCGGGTTGCGAACAAGCTGCATCTCCGCAGAGTTACCTCCTCCCCCCTGCCCCGCTCCCTCCTTCCAAGGCTATTTTTGAACTGAAAAAGCAAGCTGCCAAGGACTCGGCGCGCTTGGAGCAGACCTCAGCACTGTGCCCTCCTCTGCTCGGCACTTTTCCTCCACGCTCACGGCCCAAGAGGAGCTACAGCTGCGTCCCTCGGATGCACAGCTCCCTCCCCGCTGCAAAGCAGCTGACCCTTTGCCCTCGCTTGCTCTTCTCAGGGCCTGGCAATATTAGGATTGCAGCGGGCTTCCCACAGAGTGCTCCCGAGCCCTGGCCTCGCCGGAGTCGCGCAGTAAATCCACGCGCAGTGATTAAGGCAGCCGCTCGCATGGCAGGCTGCAGCTGACGGCTTTGTGGGACACCGGCTGCAAAGCAATTTCAAGGGCAGGGGTCAGTTCATCCCCGTTGCAGCAAAGGTCAGGGTCAGAGGATGCCTTGCCGGCAACTTGTGAGCTCTCCCTTTTGTTGGGCCGACCCTAGAAGCAAAGATCAGGGGCCCTTCAGGCTGGATGCTGTTCCAAACCTATCCTGGCAGCCCCTGCCCCGGGGAGCTTACAGTCCAAATAAACATGAGATCCTGGCTTTGCAGGGGTTTCCTGGGGCTGGATTCACTTGAGTCTTGGTCTTGCCTATGTGGCAAGCTATTGAGAGCAGACTGGACACCAACCACACGCTAGAAGTGTCCTCGCAGAGGCTGTGCGGCCACTGCAATTCCCACCCCGGCTTGCCGGGCACCAGCTTCCCCTTGCGCACGAGCTGCTCCGATACCACTCAACGATAGGTGTGAGGCTAGCCCGGCAAGCTCGTTATCACAGGGATAAAACAACCTGCCTCTCAAACAGATGGAGAAGGTCAATTAGCAATTCAAAGCTCAAAACGCTGTATAAAGGCTAAGTATTATTACCCTGACATTCAGCTTGGCCAAACTGCAAATAATAGTCATCGTAGGTGTTGCCCCTCATTAAAATCCCCAGTAATGAGTCACCGAAGCATTTCAGCACAACATGTAGTGCTACCCCACATCAGCATGGCACCTGGGTCCTACAGGCTGTGCCCCCCCCTCCCAGTTTGGATACACACGTCTCCCAGCAAACTAGCCATAGGCTTCAA